GCATTTCCGATTAAAAAATGCTACTTCTGAATTTCAATACATAATGAATGATATTTTCAACTTCTACTTCACTCTTACAATAGTATATATAGACGATGTTCTAGTTTTTTCAAAAAATATTGATAAACATTATAAGCATTTACAAACAATTTTCAACATAATCAGAAAAAATGATTTAGCGGTTTCATCATCTAAAATGAAATTATTCCAAACTCAAATTCGCTTCTTAGGGCATGAAATTCATATAGGAACTATTAAACAAATAACTAGAGCCATAGAATTTTCAGATAAATTCCCTAATGAAATAAAAGACAAAAACCAATTACAAAGATTTTTAGGATGTTTAAACTATATAGTTGATTTCTTTCCAAATACGAGACAAATTTCTCAACCTTTACTTTCAAAGATTACAAACTAATTCTCGTCCATGGACTATTTAACACGCTGAAATTGTTGAAGTATTAAAAGAAAAAGTTAAAGCCCTACCATGTTTAGGTATTTCAAATCCTTAGGCATTCATGATAGTGAAAACAGATGCATCCGACATAGGCTTTGGAAGAATACTAAAACAAAAAATAGAATCAAAAGAACAGTTAGTTAGATTCCATTTAGGGGTGTGGCTTGGACCACAAAAGAAATATTCAACAATTAAAAAATCGGTTCTATCCATTGTCTTATGTATTTTCAAATTTCAAGATGATTTCTATTTCAAAAAAAATTTATTAAAAATTGACTGTAAATCTGAAAAAGAAATTTTGCAAAAAGATGTTCAAAATCTTGTTTCAAAACAAATTTTTGCTAGATAGCAAGCTATTCTATCTGCCTTTGATTTTGAAATTGAATTCATTAATGGTTCATTAAATTCATTTTTAGATTTCCTTACTCGAAAACTTTTGCAGAATCCATTATAACTCCTAAATATATTCCTTTTAAATATACCCAAAATTTATAGAAACTTAGAAGAACAAATTTTTAATCCCAACTCAAGGAAGAAATAGTCCACCAAATTCATTTTTTAGAACTTTTTGAATATAATTTAGAATTAATAAATAAACACCCTTATTTATTTACAACAGATGATAGAGAATACTAGAACACCCTATATTCAAAAGCCCGTCCAATTTTAAAAAATTAAAAAATATATCATAATATTTTATAGCGTAACTTTAACTCTCCTTTTTGTAGGTATGAACACCTCTAACTCAACCTACAACTCGAATAGCAAAAGATTGTGAACTCATCCCAAGAACAGTAATTACTGCAAGCAACAGGTTTCAACCATTTTGCGATTTTTCTCTACTAACCTATACTCAAGCCGCCCAATCTTCTCAAAATCAAATAGTTTCAAAACCACAAAATCAACCTATAGACAAAACTCAAGCTCCCTAAACTCCACCTAGACAACCAACTAAATATTACTGAACATGTCACATTAACACGATTTGAAGAAATCACTGACATAGATACCCTTAAACAATTCACCCAAAGACTTTTCCCAAATGGAGTAAATGGAGCACATATGATCCTATCAAAACTCAAAAGTTTTATAAACTCATTTTAGTAGATTCTTAGTCAATTGAAACTCACCGACACCAAAGATTCTCAAAATCTTGACTGCGTAGCCTATTCAAAATGCATAATAAAAAAAGTGTGTTCCCAACGAAAATGAGCTTCCTCATTTTCCACAAAAATATTTTCAGTAAATTTTTCTTTAAAATGGTATACATATCATGACTATCGGATGGCATTGGATAATCTTTCTATACCGACCATTTGATCATTCATGATTTTTTACTTTTCATTCAAATTGTATTAAAAAATTCCTATATGGTTTTTACCACTGGTGGGTATTCTATGGCCCAGAAAAAGGAATAATTCCTCCCAAGGTTCAACTTGGCTTTTAACTCTTCAACAAAAAGTCTAAAGACGAAGACTTCCAGAAGCTATTACTATTCCACGTCGAATTCAAAGTTCCATGGATATTTTGTTGGTCCTTCAAATTTTTTCAGGCTTTCGACAAACCTAATCCATTATCACTGGTTCAAGGATTCCAAATTAAATGATGGAAACAATCCAACACCCAGTTTTGTGATAAACAAACAGTAGTCCATTATCTCCAGACGGGCAAGAAGCTAACAAAGGCACTCAAAAAAATTCTAAAACGTCCACCATCCACTACCCAAGCAACAAGTCATTATTCATTCCACATGGTGAAAAGAACATACCAGAAGAATCGAAGGAACCACCTGCTCCAAAAACCCCGAATACTCAACAACATCAACAAATACTCAAATTCATAGAGATGATAGGTAACAATCCTCAATTAATGGAATTCATTACAAATCAACAAAATAAAGCCCACGTCGATTCCGACGCAATAGAGGGATCAAGTTGTGATCCTTTCGGAGGACCATTAGCTCAAGATCCATTTGATATGTAATTTATTATAGCTATATATAAATTATTAATAATAATAAAAACAAATAAATAAATATGATAAATAAATATATAAGATATATAAATATAGGATATATATATATAAATCTTATCCATAAACTTAAAATAATATATTCTAGATTTAGAAAATAAAAAATCATATCCTAGATCTAGGTTTGCTATTATTAGCTATTCATCACCTATAAATAGAGAGAATGACTTCATTCTAAACACACTTGCTACACTAAAGAGCATAGATCTTGAAAGAATTCTCTCTTTGTGTACTTGTCCACCTTGTAATCTCAAGAATCAATAAAGAAGTTTTAATTCAAATAAGTTTGTTCTTGTTCTTACTATCGTTTTTATTCTTAAATTTGTTGTTCTATTATATATATATATATATATTTCTATAAATATATAATTATGGTTAGTATATACAACATGTTCGGCTCCGCCGCCAATTTTTAACTTTTGGGTCGGGTCCGCTGCCTATTTTTAACTTTTGGTCTGCTCCGCCGCCTATTTCTAACTTTTGGGACGGCTCTGCTGCCTACTTCTAATTAATTTGGTCGGAAACTTGGCGGAGGAGCCATCCCAAAAGTTAGAAATAGGCGACGGAGCCGACCAAAAGTTAAAAATAGGCGGCGGAGCCGACCCTAAAGTTAGAAATAGGTGGCGGAGCCGACTATGTTGTATATACTAACCATAATTATATATTTATAGATATATATATATATATATTAGAGAAACATAATTAAGAATAAAAACAATAGTAGGAACAAGAACAAAGTAAAGAACAAACTTACTTGAATAAAAACTTCTTTATTGATTCTTGATATTACAAGGTGGACAAGTGCACAACTCTTAAGCCTAGCAAGTGTGTTTACAATGAAGTCATTCTCTCTATTTATAGGTAAGGAATAGCTAATAATAGCAAACCTAGATCTAGGATATGATTTTTTATTTTCGAGATTTAGAATATATTATTTTAAGTTTATGGATAAGATTTATAAATATATATCTTATATATTTATTTATCATATTTATTTATTTGTTTTTATTATTATTATTACTTTATATATATATATTTATAATAAATTACATATCAAATGGATCTTGAGCTAATGGTCCTCCGAAAGGATCACAACTTGATCCCTCTATCGTGTCGGAATCTGATAATTAGAAATCGCATGCGTTTTATATTTATATCATATGCGATATTTGGGTGATTTTGATTGGATTCTACCTAATTTATATGCAAATTGTTGATTTGCTGTGTGCAGAGGGCAAATATTAAATTTGGCATAATTGGCAGAAAAAATGAAATAAAATTAATTAAAGACCCAAAAGCCCATCTACAAAATAATTAGGGCAAAAATCAAATAAGAAGAAAAAAGGCACGCCTATTGAGAAGAGAGGACGGCTAGGGCAGATACGCACATGAGTAGGAGACTACAGATTCATAGATCGCGCAGGAGCAAATCGACAAAGAAGATTTCCCCCTCCCACTATGACTTCATCTTTCTCTTTTATTCTTTGTTGTTTGATTATGGAGTAGATACTTTTCTGGTTTGAGGGATGATAATGTTTTGGTTCTTTTGTTTTGGAGATTCTTGACTTTCTTTATAAAAGTTCTTTTTGATTATCAATATTTGTCTAATTCTGAGAATAACGTTTGTGATTGTTCAATTGATTGAATATTTTGTTACTGATATTTAAATTAGTCTGATAATCTAAAGTCAATTCAGGTAGGATATTCGTAATTGTATTCGCACTTGAATAGGTGATAACCGGGTTGAATAGTTCCTTCCCGGGGGTTAGACAATCAAATCTAATTGCTCCTCTTAGGTAGTAATTGTTTTGAATTGGGTTTTCCTAGATTGGAATGCGGTTAGGCAATATCCTTATGGTCGCACCTAGGTTTATTTGCTTAATTAGGGGTAGTTAACGGTCGTACCTTAATTACCTACACTGTAAGGAAAAATTGGTTGTCAGAGCTTGTTGATAACTATAACCAATTTATTGATACTTTAATAAGAATTAATTTTATTGAATTAATGATAAAACACAAGTTCCTTAACTGCATCATCCCTTGAGCCAGGCATCCCCTTTATGTCAGTTCCCCCTTAATTTAATTGCTTTTTTATTTTATTTTCATTAGATAATAGAAGAAAATTCCCCCTTTATTTACTGTATTAGAACACGAAAGAGTGAATCACACAATCCCTGTGGAGACAATCCCTTCCCCTGTATTACATTAAATTGCGATCACGGATTAGGTAAAATATTTGATTGACCGCGCGACAGGTCAATTTTTGGCGCCGTTGCCGGGGATTGGCATTTTTTTTTACTCTTTTGTGTTATTTTAATTTATCCTCCTGTTTATGCCCCGTTCTTCTCGTACAGGTGAACTGATATTTAATCTTGAGATCGAGAAGGTTGAGCGAAAGCTACGAAAGGAAACCAAGCAACAAAAAACTGCTCAGGTTGCGTAGCTGGCAGAATCTTTAAACCACCTCAGAATCTCTAGCTCTAGCGACTCTGAAAGTGATCAAGAGACTGTCATGGCTGAGGATACCCGCACTCTAAGAGAGTTGGCTGCTCCCGACTTGGCGCAGCAGCCCTTATGCATTAACTTTCCCACTCTGAATAACACTATTGCTTTTGAACTGAAATCTGGATTAATTCATTTATTGCCTTCTTTTCATGGACTTGCAGGTGAAGAACCTCACAAACACTTGCAAGAGTTCGACGTGGTGTGCTCCAGCATGAAACCACCAGGTGTTACTGTTGAACAGATCAAACTCAAAGCCTTTCTATTCTCACTTAAAGATGCTGCAAAGGATTGGCTCTACTATATCCCACCTGAAAGCATTGACACGTGGAACGACATGAAGAAGAAATTTTTGAAGAAGTACTTTTCAGCTTCCAGAGCTGCGATTCTGAGGAAGGAGATATGTGGCATCAAACAACAATCAGGTGAAACGCTCCATGAATATTGGGAGCGATTTAATAAGCTTATCATTAAATGTCCACAACATCAAATTCCCCCTCAGTTATTGATTCAATACTTTTATGATGGTTTGTCGTTGATGGACAGGAACATTATCGATGCTGCAAGTGGTGGAGCTTTAGTAAATAAGACGCGGCACAAGCTTGGGATCTTATTGCGAGGATGGCTGAAAACACGCAGCAATTTGGTTCAAGAGTGTTGGACATATGAGCGGAAACAACAGCGACCATGCCATCCAATCGATGCAACAACAACTTTATGAGTTGACGAGCTTTGTTCGCAAGATGGTCGTGGAAAAATCCAACCCGAGTGTCCAGGTCAAGGTGTGTGGAATATGCACGAGTGCAGGACACTCTACAGATGCATGTCCGACACTCCAAGAAGAATGTGCAATGGATGTGAACACTGCAAACTACGGTATGAATAGACCTCCAGCGTACCATCCATACTCCAACACCTACAATCCAGGCTAAAGAGATCATCCGAACTTGCGTTATGGAAACGCACAGCAGGGTAATGCTCATCAACCATTCGGAGCTATGCAGCAGATGCAACAACCTCGTTTCTATGAGAAACAGCCGCCCCAAGCACCCACAAGCAACTCCAGTCCATCTTTGAAAGACTTGGTGAAATCTATGGCTACCAGTACCCTGCAATTCCAGCAAGAGATGAAGTCAACTGTCGACAAATTACAAGGTCAGATCAATCAAGTGTCAGAGGAGGTGAAACAGCTACATGAAAGAGGAAAGTGGTCTGCTCAGCCTGAGCCAAATCCAGCAAATGTCAGTGCCATCACTATCTGCAGTGATACGATGATTGAATGTTCCTCCCGGCCTAATCCAAAGAATACGAGTGCTATAACCCTTCGTAGCGGAAAGGAATTGGAAGGTCCACCTCCTATATCAAAGGAACAGAATGAGGATCAGATTGAGATGGAGATTGAAAAAGAAGCTGAGATCCACGAAAAGGTACATCCTAACTCTGTTCCTCCTACTGAAACTAAATCAGCTCCTTTTCCTGACAAGTTGAAAAAACCACAAAAGACAAACAAACGAAAATAGATGATGGAAATATTTAAGAAGGTGGAACTTAATATCCCGCTCCTGGAAGCTATCAACCAAATCCCCAAGTACGTAAAGTTTTTGAAAGAACTGTGCACTAACAAAAGGAAATTGCGAGGGGACGAGCAGATTATAGCGGGTGAGAACGTTTCTGCTGTTCTCAAAAGAAAGGTACCACCTAAAACAGGTGATCCAGGTATGTTTTCTATCCCTTGTAAGATTGGAAAAACTGAGATAACTAAGGCTATGCTAGATCTAGGAGCTTCTATTAATTTCATGCCTCGATCAATATACGACTCTTTAAATCTAGGGCCTCTAAAAGAAACAGGAATTATTATTCAACTTGCTGATCGAACCCATGCTTATCCCGATGGTATGATAGATGTATTAGTTCAAGTGAATGAATTAATTTTTCCTGTTGATTTTTATATTCTTGATATGCACGATGCACATTGTTTTAATCCACCGCCTCTTTTGTTAGGAAGACCTTTTATGTGCACTGCAGGAACAAAGATAGATGTTAAAAAGGGCACACTCAGCTTCGAGTTTGATGGAGAAGAATTTCATTTCAATATTTTTAATCCCGTCAAATGTCCTGTTGAATCTGAATCGTTATATGCAATTAATGTTATTAATTCTGTGGTGCAGGAAACTTGTGAAGTTTATAATGAGAATAAACGAAGAACTGTGTTGACAGTTAGAGAAAAGAGCAACTGGAAAGAGTAAGAAAAGAAAAAAGATTGTCGAAAAATGGAGATGGATTCCCAAGGGATCACCATTGTTGGCAGCAAAAAAATGTCATAAGGAGAATCAAAATTCTAAGCCGAAGAAAAAGTTTGTGGCCATTAGACATCGCTTCAAATTATACCACGAGGGACCCTCACTTGATCCTATAAAGTCGGCACCCGTTGCCAATTTCGATGTTCAGAATTGATGCGAGGCAAAGTCTAGCTCAAAAACTATAAAGAAAAGCGCTTTTTGCGAGACAACCCAAAATCATTTATTTGCTTTCTTTAATTTTATTTATTTTTATTTTTTAATTGCTAATAACACTTTTGATAGTTTTGTTTGGTTTAATCGCCGCCTCCAACCTCCGGCGCCGTCGACTTCTTCCTCCCCTGCTCAGTCATCGCCGATCACCACATCCGCTCCTCTAAATGGCTTGCGTTGGTTAGTTGTTTTCGCAGGACTCAGGAGAACTTCAAGCCTCCCTAAAAATCACGATCAAATGAAGAGGTGTTAACAAAGCTCCCAACTACTACACCCCCTATGGACTCCAGGGAAGTTCCTTTATTCTTTTATTGCTTTCTTTACATTGAGGACAATGCATACTTTAGGTGTGGGGAGAGTTATGCAAATTTTTGGGCAAAATTTTTATTTTTGTGCTATTTTTATGCCTGATTTGCCTTTTCGCATGTTTTTTAGATTAGTCTGAAGTGAGTCAAAGGTGATTTGTGTGATAGGTTAGTTTGGCATGACTAATGACATTTGATTGGTGATATGTTGAGTCAAGTCGACGTTTGAACCCTGTGAGAATTTGAGCCTATCTTCCGAAAGTCACATTAGAAAATAAATTGCATATATTCAAGCTTTTTGAAATTTCTTTCATGTGTGATTTGTAGTGCTCAATTAGATGACCTAGAACTTGAGTAATTATGCATGTTGAACTTGCAACTATCGAGTCTTGCGTTTTGAAAATGATAAGGGCATTAGGTAACCCATTAAGCCTTTCTTTATTACCCAGCACAATATATTCCCCTAGTTAGCCCATTTGAGCCTTCTTAGTCTATATTTCTTTTATAATAACCTGTCTTTTAGCCTCATACCCTTCTTTTGATTAAGCCTTCTCCGATTAGAACCCTATGTTAGAATGAATTACTTTAAGTCCATGTTGTGATGCACTTCATTTCTTCGGCACTAGTTAGAAACAAACTTTGGGTACGAATAAGTCACAGTATGAAGGAATAATTATGGGTAGTAAAAGTATATATATATATATAAAGACAAAAGCAAAAAAAATCAAAAATCAAAAAATCAAAAAAAAAACAAGAAATAAAAATATATATATAAAAAAAATAAATAAAAAAGAAACAAAAAATAATACAAAAATAAATAAATAAATAATTATCTTAATAAAGTATTTTCATTTAATTTCATTATTAAAGTTTGGGTAGTGAATAGAGTAAGGATTTCATTGTTTATGCCGATTTGTTATTCATATGCTAGCATCGTGTTCTTATTGTATTCTTTTCTGACATATTTTAGCCCTTGTATATCCTTTTTCCTACCCTGACCATAAGCCCCGTTACAACCCTTATTGAAAGTCCCTTTAATTCTTCATGCTAGGTTCGAATATTTTAAGCAAGGGAGATTTGATTTTTACTCAAGCCTATAGAATAATCTTTTGTTGCACTACCTGAGTGTTGAGCCAATTATACACTTAATTCCTTCAGAGAGCATGTGCGAATACACTTTATCTTTGTGAGGTTGACTTGGCTTGATGTGTTAAAATTCGGATTGAATTGGTTGTGTTGGATCCTCTTGTTATATCGACTTGCCTGCTATTTCTTTGGCTTATTTCGAATTTAAGCTTGAGGGCAAGCATGATCTATGTGTGGGGAGAATTGATAGTTAGAAATCGCATGCGTTTTATATTTATATCATATGCGATATTTGGATAATTTTGATTGGATTCTACCTAATTTATATGCAAATTATTTATTTGCTGTGTGCAGAGGGCAAATATTAAATTTGGCATAATTGGCAGAAAAAAAAAATGAAATTAATTAAAGGCCCAAAAGCCCATCTACAAAATAATTAGGGCAAAAATCAAATAAGAAGAAAAAAGACACGCCTATTGAGAAGAGAGCACGGCTAGGGCAGATACGCACAGAAGTAGGAGACTACAGATTCATAGATCGCGCATGAGCAAATCGACAGAGAAGATTTCCCCCTCCCACTATGACTTCATCTTTCTCTTTTATTCTTTGTTATTTGATTATAGAGTAGATACTTTTCTGGTTTGAAGGATGATAATGTTTTGGTTCTTTTGTTTTGGAGATTCTTGATTTTCTTTATAAAAGTTCTTTTTTATTATCAATATTTGTCTAATTCTGAGAATAGCGTTTGTTAGATTGATTGAATATTTTGGTACCGATATTTAAATTAGTCTGATAATCTAAAGTCCATTCAGGTAGGATATCCGTAATTGTATTCGCACTTGAATGGGTGATAACCGGGTTGAATAGTTCCTTCCCGGGGGTTAGACAATCAAATCTAATTGCACCTCTTAGGTAGTAATTGTTTTGAATTGGGTTTTTCTAGATTGGAATGCGGTTAGGCAATATCCTTATGGTCGCACCTAGGTTTATTTGCTTAATTAGGGGTAGTTAACGGTCGTACCTTAATTACCTACACTGTAAGGAAAAATTGGTTGTCAGAGCTTGTTGATAACTATAAACAATTTATTGATACTTTAATAAGAATTAATTTTATTGAATTAATGATAAAACACAAGTTCTTTAACTGCATCATCCCTTGAGTCAGGCATCCCCTTGATAGTCAGTTCCCCCTTAATTTAATTGCTTTGTTATTTTATTTTCATTAGATAATAAAAGAAAATTCCCCCTTTATTTACTACATTAGAACACGAAAGAGTGAATCAGACAATCCCTGTGAAGACGATCCCTTCCCATGTATTACATTAAATTGCGATCACGGATTAGGTGAAATATTTGATTGACCGCGCGACAGGTTAGAATCGACGTGGGCTTTATTTGTAATGAATTCCATGAATTGAGGATTGTTACCTATCATCTCTATGAATTTGAGTATTTGTTTATGTTGTTGAGTATTCGGGGTTTTCTGAGCAGGTGGTTCCTTTGATACTTCTGGAATGTTCTTTTTACCATGTGGAATGAATAATGACTTGTTGCTTTGCCTAGTGGATGGTGGACTTTTTGAAATTTTTTTGAGTTCCTTTGTCAAGCTTTTTGCCTGTCTGGAAATAATGGACTACTGTTTGTTGATCACAAAACTGGGTGTTGAATTAGTTCCACTATTTGTTTTTGAATTCTTGAACCAGTGATAATGGATTGGATTTGTCGAAAGGCTGCAAAATTTTGAAGGACCAACAAAATATCCATGGGACTTTGAATTCGGAGTGGAATAGTATTAGCTTCTAGAATTCTTCGTCTTTGGACTTTTTGGTTAAGAATTAAAAGCCAAGTTGAACCATGTGAGGAATTATTCCTCTTTTCTGGACCGTAGAAACCCACCAGTGGTAAAACCATATTGGGAATTTTTTAATACATTTTTAATGACAAGTAAAAAATCATGAATGATCAAATGGTCGGGATAGAAAGATTCTATACCATGTCATCCGATAGTCATGATATGTATACCCTTTTGGA